TTGACGAATCCACATATAAAGTGTATCCATCCATCAACATCTTTACGCAAAACGATCCATCCATCACGAAAAACGTACCTCCCATTGCCAAAAGTAGTGCAGTCCTTGTCCTTGGTATCCCAGCTGTCAGCAAAAAAAATTTCAGCTCAATCAGACAACATCACGCCATCTGCATTCTCAATCCTAATGGCCAATTTGCAAATCGGCAACATGCAGGGATTGCCAACCGAGCTTACCTCATTCCTGACAACATTGCAGGCACAAATCATGAATGTGCAAAACAGAACCGACCAGTTGGAGCGACTTGCAGCAGAGAATGCAAGACTAACTACTGAATTAGACCATGCTAGAACAACAATTGCTAATCTGCAGACGCAATTAGGATCTCAGAGTGCACCTGAAAAAAACTTTTCAGAAATTTCACTTTCGAACCCAGCCGGCGCAGTAGGTGCTCCTGACAAAAACAAAGAATCAGGTCTGGAAGCCTCCACTTGGGCTACTAAAGCCAGTGTTTCTCTTCCTGTAACTGCCCCAAAAATGTCTACTGTTCCCTCTGCTCGCCGTATTGCAGCTTCTGTTCGTATGTTTGCTCTTCCCTCTGGTCCTTCAGGTTATGAATATGTTTATATTCCAAGATCAAGACGCCTTAAGCACAAAGAAGTCCGTTCCTCTCTCCGCACTCTTGGTGTGGATTCTTCTCGACTTTTGGACATTAACTTCCCAGCCAGAGGTGTCATTGGCATCCTTGTTCATGTCCAGTATGCTGATACATTTAAGGCCAAACTGACAACTGCTTCTGTTGAGATTTTGGACGCATTTGATCCACTTGATCCTGATAATGTTGCTGATCCCAAGTATGCATCTCTGTCCACTCATGAACTTGCCAACACTGCTGCCATGCTTCACCATGATAGATGTCTCCAAGCCCTACAGTTCTTGCGCCCACACGTTGCTATCCCAGTTGGTCACTTCTTTTGTGAGGAAGGGTGGATCAGTGAAGATGAAATACCAACACGTACTACTCTTACCAATGCTACTGGCGGGTCTTTGTTCAAACGTCAGCGCAGCTCATCAGTCACTATGTCTGAATGAGTAATCTCAATATCGGATTATGGAATGCCAATGGCCTGCAACCCAGAGCCATTCAAGATACCCTTCAACACTGTCAGTCCTTACATATGCTCTTCATTACAGAAACATGGCTTCTCTCTCCCTCACATCTTCCCACATCATGGTCACAAATTCACTTGTATGGGTCTCCTGTAGCTGGCACCTATAGGGGCTCTATGGGTGTTTCTGTTCTCATATCACCTCACTGTCCTTATGCCGTCACTCAAATACCTATGCCCTCCAAATATGCTCTGGCTGTCAAAATTGGCTCACTCAGAATTGTATGCTTATATCTTCCACCAAATATGCCCACTCATGATGTCCTACATGTACTCTCTTCCATTCCTTTAACACATGATACCATTCTTTGTGGTGACTTCAATGCAAGACTTGGCTCTGTTACTGGTGACTATGCATCAAATTCTCGTGGACTGGCACTATGTTCTTGGATAGAAGAGAGATCTCTATCAGTTGTAAATGCAGATCTTGCACCTTGCATACCAACATATATTTCTTTCCACAACAACTATGAAATCAGCAGTATTATTGACCTCTTTATAACTAATATGCCACTCATCAATCCTTCTCTTCATATTGCTACTGACTTGTCTCTTGGATCAGATCATCGCCTTTTATCACTTTCCTTTACCTATGATCTACAGCACTCTACCAATATGCCACCACCATTACGCAAGACATGGAACCTCTCACGCCTCAATGAACCTGATGTCCATGCTCTTTATGCTCATACCTTCAATCAAAACTCGACCTCCCTCCTTTCCACCTTGCAAGACATTGTACAGAATCCACCACTCACTAGACCCAACATTGATGCTATCACTGATGAGTTCAATTTACTCATTTATGACTCATTAAATAGCTCAATTGGACATCGACCCTCTCGCCCAAATCATTGGAAATCCTTCTGGAATGTAGCTTTGCAAACAGCAGCAGATCGTCGTAACCAATGTTACAAAAAATGGCGCCTAGCAATAGGTATTGACAAAGTTGTTTGGTGGACTAAACACAAGCATGCACAGGCCGAATTCCGATCTCAGGTTCAGCAAGCAAAACGTCAGTCTTGGCATGTCTTTTGTCAGTCTATGGAACGTGACTTCAGCAAAGCAACATCAAAGATAAAGCAGTTAAAACGCCGTAGACAGCCGCAACATACTTTCCAGCACGATGATGGACCAGCCGTAGCAGCAGCAACAATGTGTGACTATTTGGCAACAGTATATAGTGGACATATACTTCCAGCAACCCGACCACCAGCACCAATGACCACTTGTAACAGTGTGCCTTTTGCCTCTGATGACTCTCCCTTTACCTCACCAATTGTAGAGGAATTCATGCAATTTATGCCTAACCGCAAGGCACCAGGACCAGACCATATCAGAGCTGAAATGCTAAAACCTATAAAAACACATGTCTCACCCATTCTTACTTTATTATTTACAGTTTGCTGGCAATGGTCATATGTTCCAAGTTTGTGGCGCCAAGCCCAGGTCTTCCCAATCTTCAAGAAGGGTAGTCCAACTGACCCGGCAAACTACCGACCAATCTCCTTGACCTCTGTACTGCGTAAGCTTTTTGAGATGTGTATAGCCCCCCAGTTGCACAAGTACTCTCCTCCTTTGGATGTGGCTCAAGGTGGTTTTCGTCCTCGCCGTGGTGCTTTGGATCAAGCTCTCTGTCTCCATGATCTGATGAAAGCCTATTATCACCGTCATAAGCACTACCCTGTTGTTGCATTTCTGGATATCAAGGCTGCCTATGATACAGTGGATCGACGAATCATCTGGCATGCTTTACAAAAACGTTGCACTCCACCGGCACTTTTGGGTCTCTTGGTTAACATGTTTGACAATGTCTCTATCTGTGTCCTTTTGGGTAACTTTTCTTCACACTCGTTCTCACCTGCCACTGGGGTTCTCCAAGGTTCTGTCCTCAGTCCACATCTGTATTCAATATATATCAACTCCCTGCCCCCATTGCTCCGCACAGTTGCTCACTCACAAACTACAACCCATGTTCCATCACCCTCTCCTACCTCATTGGATGCATATAATGCTCTTCTTGCTCCTTCAGGTGTAGATGGCTTTGGACATATTCATTTCTCAACACCCATCAATTCTCTGCTCTTTGCCGACGATGTAGCTATTTTTGGTTCTCTTTCAGACGTTCAGGCCATGCTAGACCTTGCTGCAGACCACTCTCTTACTCTTGGATATCGATGGAGCCCCACCAAATGTGAAGTTATATATCCCAAAACACGTGCAAGCTCGCCAGTTTCTCTTCTTTTATATGGTCAAGTTCTCCCTGCCACTGACCTGTTTATTTATCTGGGTGTTCCTTTTGCCAATAAGGGTATTTCTTCCAAGTCCATTGCCACTCATAGACGTTCTGGTACACTCGCTACAATGGCAACCCTAAACTCTGTTGGTGCTTGTCGTTCTGGTTTTTCTCTGCTGCTCAGTTCACGATTGTATAAGACCTTTGTCCGCCCAAAGTTTGAATATGGTTTGGCGATCTCCACTCTACTGAAACAAGATATCAAAGTGCTGGAGTCCATTCAAGATAAGTGTCTTCGCATGATTGTTGGGGGGCATGCCACGTCCTCTACAATTGTGTTAAAGCACATCTGCAATCTGCCAAGTATGAAGTTTCGTGCTGATGCTCTTATGGCCAAGTTCTGTATAAGATCACGCTTTTCGCCAGCCCAGTGCCTTCTGTCTCTTTTGCACCGTCATCATACCGTCTATTCTTCACTTGTCTCCTTGGGAAAAACCCATCTTCTATCCAATCTCCCTCCAACACTCAAACTTCGAAGCCCTAGTGCTGTAAAAAATCATTTTGAAAGCATTAGAGAAGCTGGATTTGCAACCTTTCTCCAGTCTAATACGCAAGTTCTCATTCAAGCATGCCGCCCAGTTCTTGGAGTTGATCCAATCTTGTTTTTGCCAGCCTCACGTGTGGAACGTAGCCGTTTGATTCGTTGGAGAATGGGGTGGTTACCAGGCAAACCAAAGGAATGTCCTTGTGGATCAGATCACACCTCACGCCGCCATTTGTTGGATTGCCCACTTGTTCCTATGGCACTATTTGAACAGTTGCCTCAACCTGACCAAGATCAGATACACAGAATTGATTTTGCCATCACATCCTTGCCTTTGTCATCTCAAGAACCGCGACCTGCTTACTGGATACCACTGCTGACTATTCTCTGGCACATAGATGTTATATGTAATCCTGATGGTGACTATTCACATGAGACTGAACATGGTGCTCTTTGGATATAATTTAGACTTTTTCTTTTCTTTCATAGCTCTTCACTTTTCATTGTTCTTTACTCCCTTTATCTCTCTTCTTTCTCTTTTGTTCTTTGCTGTCTGAAAAGTTCTTTGTTCTGCAATTCTGTCTCCTCCCTTTCACTGTTACAACTATTTTCACAGCTGCAAAGTGGAGAGCAGATTCAGCCATTGAAGCTAGTATGATTTGATCTTCTCTTTCCCCTCTCTTTTTTTTGTCTTTTGTGATCCCTTGGGACTTTTTTATATCTTCTTTTTGTACTTTGGAGGCTATATGATCTATAGATCGCCAGCAATATCTCCTTTAATAAAATATAATCTTTAACCTGAGCTACATCCCCGCACTGCTCTTTCGCTTAAGCATTTTATTTGTCTGGTTCCAAAATTTTATTTTTGACGAATCCATATATAAAGTGTATCCATCCATCAACATCTTTACGCAAAACGATCCATCCATCACGAAAAACGTACCTCCCATTGCCAAAAGTAGTGCAGTCCTTGTCCTTGGTATCCCAGCTGTCAGCAAAAAAAAATTCAGCTCAATCAGACAACATCACGCCATCTGCATTCTCAATCCCAATGGCCAATTTGCAAATCGGCAACATGCAGGGATTGCCAACCGAGCTTACCTCATTCCTGACAACATTGCAGGCACAAATCATGAATGTGCAAAACAGAACCGACCAGTTGGAGCGACTTGCAGCAGAGAATGCAAGACTAACTACTGAATTAGACCATGCTAGAACAACAATTGCTAATCTGCAGAAGCAATTAGGATCTCAGAGTGCACCTGAAAAAAACTTTTCAGAAATTTCACTTTCGAACCCAGCCGGCGCAGTAGGTGCTCCTGACAAAAACAATGAACCAGGTCTGGAAGCCTCCACTTGGGCTAGTAAAGCCAGTGTTTCTCTTCCTGTAACTGCCCCAAAAATGTCTGCTGTTCCCTCTGCTCGCCGTATTGCAGCTTCTGTTCGTATGTTTGCTCTTCCCTCTGGTCCTTCAGGTTATGAATATGTTTATATTCCAAGATCAAGACGCCTTAAGCACAAAGAAGTCCGTTCCTCTCTCCGCACTCTTGGTGTGGATTCTTCTCGACTTTTGGACATTATCTTCCCAGCCAGAGGTGTCATTGGCATCCTTGTTCATGTCCAGTATGCTGATACATTTAAGGCCAAACTGACAACTGCTTCTGTTGAGATTTTGGACGCATTTGATCCACTTGATCCTGATAATGTTGCTGATCCCAAGTATGCATCTCTGTCCACTCATGAACTTGCCAACACTGCTGCCATGCTTCACCATGATAGATGTCTCCAAGCCCTACAGTTCTTGCGCCCACATGTTGCTATCCCAGTTGGTCACTTCTTTTGTGAGGAAGGGTGGATCAGTGAAGATGAAATACCAACACGTACTACTCTTACCAATGCTACTGGCGGGTCTTTGTTCAAACGTCAGCGCAGCTCATCAGTCACTATGTCTGAATGAGTAATCTCAATATCGGATTATGGAATGCCAATGGCCTGCAACCCAGAGCCATTCAAGATACCCTTCAACACTGTCAGTCCTTACATATGCTCTTCATTACAGAAACATGGCTTCTCTCTCCCTCACATCTTCCCACATCATGGTCACAAATTCACTTGTATGGGTCTCCTGTAGCTGGCACCTATAGGGGCTCTATGGGTGTTTCTGTTCTCATATCACCTCACTGTCCTTATGCCGTCACTCAAATACCTATGCCCTCCAAATATGCTCTGGCTGTCAAAATTGGCTCACTCAGAATTGTATGCTTATATCTTCCACCAAATATGCCCACTCATGATGTCCTACATGTACTCTCTTCCATTCCTTTAACACATGATACCATTCTTTGTGGTGACTTCAATGCAAGACTTGGCTCTGTTACTGGTGACTATGCATCAAATTCTCGTGGACTGGCACTATGTTCTTGGATAGAAGAGAGATCTCTATCAGTTGTAAATGCAGATCTTGCACCTTGCATACCAACATATATTTCTTTCCGCAACAACTATGAAATCAGCAGTATTATTGACCTCTTTATAACTAATATGCCACTCATCAATCCTTCTCTTCATATTGCTACTGACTTGTCCCTTGGATCAGATCATCGCCTTTTATCACTTTCCTTTACCTATGACCTACAGCACTCTACCAATATGCCACCACCATTACGCAAGACATGGAACCTCTCACGCCTCAATGAACCTGATGTCCATGCTCTTTATGCTCATATCTTCACTCAAAACTCAACCTCCCTCCTTTCCACCTTGCAAGACATTGTACAGAATCCACCGCTCACTAGACCCAACATTGATGCTATCACTGATGAGTTCAATTTACTCATTTATGACTCATTAAATAGCTCAATTGGACATCGACCCTCTCGCCCAAATCATTGGAAATCCTTCTGGAATGTAGCTTTGCAAACAGCAGCAGATCGTCATAACCAATGTTACAAAAAATGGCGCCTAGTAATAGGTATTGACAAAGTTGTTTGGTGGACTAAACACAAGCATGCACAGGCCGAATTCCGATCTCAGGTTCAGCAAGCAAAACGTCAGTCTTGGCATGTCTTTTGTCAGTCTATGGAACGTGACTTCAGCAAAGCAACATCAAAGATAAAGCAGTTAAAACGCCGTAGACAGCCACAACATACTTTCCAGCACGATGATGGACCAGCCGTAGCAGCAGCAACAATGTGTGACTATTTGGTAACAGTATATAGTGGACATATACTTCCAGCAACCCGACCACCAGCACCAATGACCACTTGTAACAGTGTGCCTTTTGCCTCTGATGACTCTCCCTTTACCTCACCAATTGTAGAGGAATTCGTGCAATTTATGCCTAACCGCAAGGCACCAGGACCAGACCATATCAGAGCTGAAATGCTAAAACCTGTAAAAACACATGTCTCACCCATTCTTACTTTATTATTTACAGTTTGCTGGCAATGGTCATATGTTCCAAGTTTGTGGCGCCAAGCCCAGGTCTTCCCAATCTTCAAGAAGGGTAGTCCAACTGACCCGGCAAACTACCGACCAATCTCCTTGACCTCTGTACTGCGTAAGCTTTTTGAGATGTGTATAGCCCCCCAGTTGCACAAGTACTCTCCTCCTTTGGATGTAGCTCAAGGTGGTTTTCGTCCTCGCCGTGGTGCTTTGGATCAAGCTCTCTGTCTCCATGATCTGATGAAAGCCTATTATCACCGTCATAAGCACTACCCTGTTATTGCATTTCTGGATATCAAGGCTGCCTATGATACAGTGGATCGACGAATCATCTGGCATGCTTTACAAAAACGTTGCACTCCACCGGCACTTTTGGGTCTCTTGGTTAACATGTTTGACAATGTCTCTATCTGTGTCCTTTTGGGTAACTTTTCTTCACACTCGTTCTCACCTGCCACTGGGGTTCTCCAAGGTTCTGTCCTCAGTCCACATCTGTATTCAATATATATCAACTCCCTGCCCCCATTGCTCCGCACAGTTGCTCACTCATAAACTACAACCCATGTTCCATCACCCTCTCCTACCTCATTGGATGCATATAATGCTCTTCTTGCTCCTTCAGGTGTAGATGGCTTTGGACATATTCATTTCTCAACACCCATCAATTCTCTGCTCTTTGCCGACGATGTAGCTATTTTTGGTTCTCTTTCAGACGTTCAGGCCATGCTAGACCTTGCTGCAGACCACTCTCTTACTCTTGGATATCGATGGAGCCCCACCAAATGTGAAGTTATATATCCCAAAACACGTGCAAGCTCGCCAGTTCCACTTCTTTTATATGGTCAAGTTCTCCCTGCCACTGACCTGTTTATTTATCTGGGTGTTCCTTTTGCCAATAAGGGTATTTCTTCCAAGTCCATTGCCACTCATAGACGTTCTGGTACACTTGCTACAATGGCAACACTAAACTCTGTTGGAGCTTGTTGTTCTGGTTTTTCTCTGCTGCTCAGTTCACGACTGTATAAAACTTTTGTTCGCCCAAAGTTTGAATATGGTTTAGCTATTTCCACTCTGCTGAAGCAAGATATTAAAGTTCTGGAGTCCATTCAAGATAAGTGTCTTTGCATGATTGTTGGGGGGCATGCCACGTCCTCTACAATTGTGTTGAAGCACATCTGCAATCTGCCAAGTATGAAGTTTCGTGCAGATGTTCTTATAGTCAAATTTTGTATCAGATCACACTTTCTGCCTGCCCAGTGCCTTTTGTCTCTTTTACACCGTCATCATACCATCTATTCTTCACTTGTCTCCCTGGGAAAAACCAACCTTCTGTCACATCTCCCTCCAACACTCAAACTCCAAAGCCCTAGTGCAGTAAAAAACCATTTTGAAAGCATTAGAGAAGCTGGATTTACAACCTTTCTCCAGTCCAATACACAAGTTCTCATTCAAGCATGCCGCCCAGTTCTTGGAGTTGATCCAATTTTGTTTCTGCCAGCCTCACATGTGGAACGTGGCCGTTTGATTCGTTGGAGAATGGGATGGTTGCCAGGCAAACCAAAGGAATGTCCTTGTGGATCTGATCACACCTCACGCTGCCATTTGTTGGATTGCCCACTTGTTCCTGTGGCACTATTTGAACAGTTGCCTCAACCTGACCATGACCAGATACACAGAATTGATTTTGCCATCACATCCTTGCCTTTGTCATCTCAAGAACCGCGACCTGCTTACTGGATACCACTGCTGACTATTCTCTGGCACATAGATATTATATGTAATCCTGATGGTGACTATTCACATGAGACTGAACATGGTGCTCTTTGGATATAATATAGACTTTTTCTTTTCTTTCATAGCTCTTCACTTGTCATTGTTCTTTACTCCCTTTATCTCTCTTCTTTCTCTTTTGTCCTTTGCTGTCTGAAAAGTTCTTTGTTCTGCAATTCTGTCTCCTCCCTTTCACTGTTACAACTATTTTTACAGCTGCAAAGTGGAGAGCAGGTTCAGCCATTGAAGCTAGTATGATTTGATCTTCTCTTTCCCCTCTCTTTTTTTTGTCTTTTGTGATCCCTTGGGACTTTTTTATATCTTCTTTTTGTACTTTGGAGGCTATATGATCTATAGATTGCCAGCAATATCTCCTTTAATAAAATATAATCTTTAACCTGAGCTACATCCCCTTATTGTGTTATAGTGGTCACAGTAAAACATAACAATCTAACAATATAAACAAACAGCCAAAAGTCAAGTTGAGTGTAAAGATATTTTTTATTACTGTATAAATTAAGAGGTTTTATTAGTTTTTGGTGCCTGACTGTTAGATATATTAGTAATTTAAGCTCCAGCCAATAAAAATAAGAATAAAAAACTGGTGAAGCCCCTAACGTCTTTTGGTGAATATATTTTTTTATATATATCAAAATTTATATATATAATATATTTTCACTATAATTGGTGTGGACAGACTAAAAGTTCAAAAAAAGGGCAAAAAAAAGGTAAAATAAGTCTATCTTAAACTTAGCCAATCAGCTTTCTTTATGACTGGCCACATCTTTTTTTAAAAAAGTTCAAAATTAGTTCAAAATATATATTAGATAATTACTGTAGAAAAAAAAGTGCAAGTACTCACAGAAATAATTGCATATCTGCAAAATCCATGTAACTTTGTAAAAATCATATTAATCTTACTAAATTTAGAGTGTTCTAAACTCCTTTTAGAAGCTGTGGACCCGCGATTAATTTTTTTCATGTGTTAAACTCAGACGTCTATTTTAAGTGAGAAAAAAAAGACGACTGTTCTTTTTTGTTTACAATTTTGATCAAGGTTACAAATATAGCCAATCAATCAGATATACCGTTAATTTGGATTTTCTGGTGATGTGCAATTTTAAATAAAATGATAATGACAATCAACTTTGTTGAGTAATATCTAAATAAAACAAAAGGTTTATATACATTTATTAAAAAGAAAGAGGGAAAAAAAGAAGAAGAACAAACTACTGATTGTGGGTTGGCGAGGGCCAGACGATATGTCTAATGACCCTGTCCTTAGTATTGTGGACGAGGCCAGCCATCCCCTTGAAGGACTTCACATCCACTATCCTCATCTCGCCCTGCGAGTGGTTGCTCAACACAGAGAAGAGCATGACTGGCAAGGGCCTGATGTTGGAAAGACTCTCGGTGGCTGCAAAGAGCCTGGTCACTGCTTTAACAGTGTGGGAAAAGAGTTTGCGGACAAATCCATAACTTTCAAAAAACATAATTAAATTATGATTAATATCAACTTTTAATAATATAGAATATAACTAACAACACTTACTCTCACATATGTTTGAGCACAACAAGATTGTTAGCTCGAACATGTCTACTGTCAAAGGAGAACCGGACTCTGTAAACCACCGAGTCTTTCCACATCTTCATGGTTCAAACCACTGAGTCTTGTTCCTCGAAGGAAGAAACTCCTTCTTCTGCCCAGAAAGGCAACAACTGTTGGACGAGGTCCTCCCATTCCATGCCAATGGTGTTGACCAACTTGGCCATGCTATACCTGGTCGGACTGGACCACAGCTGAGGACCAGCAACATCATCACTTGCAACCTCGAAGTTGCTGGTCGTTCTGTCAGCTGGTCCAGTCCTGGCTGGATGGTTGCTGCAGCAGTGGCTGATGGCTGCCATCTGGAAAAGAACATTTTCCATGTTTTTTCCGGGCTCCTTCCTGGACTTGATTGCAGAGGTATAGGCACCAATCGTGCGTTCTATTGGACAGCAGCTGTAAGCCCGCAAAGGGCCCATTTCCCACAACATGAAACCAAGATGAACCAGCATGTGCTGGTTCATCACGAATATGTTGGATTTCAGCTTACTGTCCAAAATCTTGCACCTCAGAAAGGAGTGCCAGTGGCCAATTGCCCTATAAAACTCATTAAAAACCGGATAGAAATATATATCTAAGCCACTTACTGCTCCACGGCAACAATGTCGCTGGCAGTGATGCTCCATTGTTGGACAATGGAACACACCAGAACCAGGTCTCTCACGGCCTGCTTTGCATCTGCAAAGCAGAGGTGGTCGATTACCATGGTTGATACAACAAACAAGAGAAAGTCCATCCAATCGACGACCTTCCTCTTGCTGTTTGATTCCTTCATTGACCTCCACGTACCAGTAAATGCCATCGGTATATCTGCCCTGGATGTGCTGACTGCTTTTTCGATGTCATCTAGGCTAACATTCAGGGCAAAGGGATACTCAAGTTGTTGCAGGCGTTCTTGGAGGTGCATTCCATGGGATTTTCTGTCTGGGCCTGCAGTCCCAGGGCAGAATTTGCCACCAAGGGATTGATAGAGCTGATGCCCTGTTCCATGACCTAGGAGGTGCATCTCGTCCTGGCCAAAGAAAGCAGAACTGGTGAGTGTGGATAACTCTGCAAAGGCATTGTATCTCCCACCACCAGGTCTATAAAATGATGTTTGTGGTTTTTTTGATATTTCATAACTTACGCTTCCTTCGGCTCTGCGAATGCTCCCTACGTCCCTCATGGGGGCAGGACCCTTGCTCTCCAGGAAGCATATGGTCTTGGCAATGCTTTCACCATGCGCAAAACAATGGCAGCAGCCGTATTGTGCATTGTGATGCATAAGGTTCATCAAGTCAGATACAGCTGGAGTATCTTCAGTTGCCACGACAAGATGAACCTTATACACCACATACTGGTCTCTGTCCCAGCACTTCACTCCACTTGTCTGCAAGGCTCGCAGGTTGGCAAGGATGGGCTCCAAAAACGAAGCAATGTTCTTTGGGTGCTTAGGCTCTGGGATGATGGCCAGCTGCATCATGTTACCCTTCTTGTACCTAAATATATTATATTAGTATATATAAATATACATCTAAATCAATGGGTTTTTTTTATTTACCTTTTGGCAGGGTTAATATTCATGTTAATAATGTGAATGATGCTAGCTGACATGGCAGCGTCCTTGAAGGGGTTGAACTGGTCAACAAACATAGACACCACCATGTCACCCTGGCCAACAATCCCACCTGCGAGCAGTCTATGGATGCCATCTCCATCAAGAATATCCTTACAGACATTTGATCGGCCACCAGCCAAAACCTCCATGCCATAGGCGATCTTTGCCCATTCTTCAGGGTGAGCCAACTTGAAGCGTAATTTCTCTGAGAGAGGCACTACCTGGTATGTCTGTACAGGTGATATAGTGCCTCTCTCATGCTGGTACCGCGGTCCATTGCAGTGAGGGCACACCTCATTCTCAACGATTGAGTTTCCAGGCTCGACATCAGGAAAATGAAAGCACCCACTGGCACACATGTCATACACCTGTGCCTTGACTGTGTATTCTTGCTTGAGCAAGGTATCCACCTTTTAATATGACAGAAGTGCATCCGTTTTAGCTAATACAATAATAAGTATATGTAATATAGTAGATATGTGATAGTAATAAACTTACGGGATCCACATTCTGTCATGTACTCATTTACGATCTTGACAGACTGATCATAGATTTCACAAGAAACACTGTTCTCAAAAAACAAGGAGAACAACTCCAGACTAACAGCCTCAGCACTGCTGTTGGGAGTGTACATTGGTACAAACTGGTCGTACTCAATGTTGGCCTGCTCTGGTTCAGCTTGGGCCATTCCTTGGTTTTGGACACGTGTGAATCCAGGACCATTCTCTAATATATTTACACAGTTAATATTTAACATAAACATAATCATATGTAATAATGTTATTATTAACATTTTCTTTTAATTGTTCTTACCAGAGGTGTACTCCACCTCAACATTGTTGGAATTGGCTTCCATAGGAGAAGCGTCCTCTTCATCAGCCTCAACGTTGTTAGTGGCAGCAGCCAAGAAACCATCAAAGCCAATTGAATCATCGACAGAGGCTTTATCGTTGATATCCATCATGTTGTAAGCTGGATAAGTGACATTGATATCCATTTGAGCAGGTTGTTGCTCAAAGAACGAATTGTCAAGCATATAACTGCTTGTTTCGTTTTCGCTAACAGGGTTAAGTAAGCCGTTAATGTTCATTTTGAATTGTTGTTTTGTATTTTAAAAAAATAGGGGTGTAAGATCGAAAAAACCACTTGGGATGTGATATTAGTTTTTATTCCATCAGTTGACAGTGAAAAATTACAAGTGCGCTAATTATCATGAAAATTTTTTTAAAGGGATTCTGGCTTTTTGTTTTTTATTTTTCCTTGTTGTTTTTGTTTTTTATTTTTCAGTTTTTCTTGTTGCTTTTGTTTAACTTTGTTTTTTTTATATTTTACATCTTCTTTACAGTTCTAAAAATGTCATTGCTCAACATTGCGCAATTAAACCTTTGACTGGTGATGCTGGAGACAGCATATGCCCGGCTTGAGACCAGATTTGAGGCCAGGTTTGAGGGCGGTGAGGCCGCCACTGAACAGCCTGTCTGAGGTAACCCTCCTGATGTGAACCATTTGCAGCCGGTCATTGGTGGCAACACCATTCCACGCCCTTCCCCCCAAGGACAACCTAACAGTTGGGTACTCTCAGCCGGGAGTGTTACTGCAGCCCTGGTATTACATTTTACCAGGGGTAACACCAAAGAAGCTTGGCTTCTTTACAGTGCCATTGGCAGACTTGCTCGCCAACTTGTACAGGTAACAATGTCATGCTACTGTACAAATGGTATAGCTATACCATTGTGGGGTAGTCTTGCACCTAACCAGAGAAACATCCTGGTTAGAAACCTTGAGGAGAGAGCAGCCAGAAGAAATATTGCTCTTGATAGGTTTGAGAATTTCTGGGTGTCTATCTTTGTGCTTTCTCAGAGATGGAGAACTGCTGTCTCCAGTGGAAGACAGTAATAAAATGTAAGTAACTTTTAAATATAAAGCCATTTATAAGATCATAACTAATACAAATCAATTGTTTTGCTTTGTTTGTTTGTTTTTTATTTTATTATAGTAGACAATACTGAACTTTATAAGTGACATTTATAAAAAAACATAATAAAAATACTATTTTAAAAAAATTGTTATCAAGTAGAAAGTAATTTGGTATATGCCTTGTATACTTCTTCTACTGTCATTTGTTTGTTTGTTTGTTTGTTTTGTTTTGTTTTGTTTTGTTTTGTTTTTTTTTCATTTTTTTGTTTTTTATTTTTTATTTTTTTTTTCTATTTTTTTATTTTTATTTTTTATTTATTTTTTCTATTTTTTTTATTTTTTATTTTTTATTTTTTTGTATATTCCAGGGACCAAAAAATAAAACAAAAATAAAAATAAAAACTTATTTTTATGTGACGCAATGTGTATTATTTGACCAATTAGAGATTCAACAAATTTAACAAAAAAGAGTTAGTTAAAAGTAATACACAAGTCTAATTGGTTTGAGGATGCTGAACAGCACTCAATCGAGTTTAATACTATGGAATTCCACAAATCCGATTGGCAAAGAGTAGTAACACTAACATTGTATCACCTTGTTTTTATTGGCTGAATCCATATCTGCAAGTATGCATTTTTTACATAGTAATCTGCATTGGTGGAATTACAAATGCTGTAATTTCCTACAGTGAATGCTATGTTCATAATGCCGTCACTGTCAGTAAGCATAGTCAATGCTTCATATTCAAATACATCAACATAAAGAAGTCTGTTTTGTTGTGAATAAAGACAAATTTGTTTATATCATCTAATTAAAACTCTTCAGAATCTCTCTCTGCTTGAATCTGTATCAGTATATTGTCAAAGCATATGTATGCAAACAATATTCCCTGTCTCTAAAAGTCCTCTCAATCAGTACAAGAACTCTTAACAATTCTCATTAATAAAAATCATTCTTCTTGAGCTCAAACCTCTCTCTATTTCATAATCTAATTATTTATGAACATCTATATTTCCTGGTAGATGGTAAAGTATTAGCCAAAAAAGAGGCTTATCTACCAGAAAATCAGACAAAAAAATTCACCTACCAGAAAATAAAAAAGTTCATAATTTACTAAGTCACTTTGATAATTGTTTCAATTAATAGCACAATTTTTTTGAAAAAAAAGAAAGATAAATATATTTTTATTGTTGTGTGTTTGATCTGTGAAAGTTCACTTTGTATTTATCTTTTAAAGCTTGAATTGACTGAAAATAAAGCTGTTGCATATCATAGACATACTTGGCTTCATCATCTGTTGTATACTAAGATAGTTTTGTAAGATCTTGATGAGATTAGTGTATTGTTTGATTTGTTTTTATATACTGGTCAAAAAATGAGTCTAGATCGATTGCTGGAATTTTCAGTGTTTTGTAGAGTTTGTAGTGTGTGTATTTGATTAGTAGTAATGGCAGAAGTGGTAGAGAAGAAAATAGAGTTCGATGTGTGTATCTTCAATAGATACATATGTGTGCAAGGTCTGTATCTTCTTTTAAAATCAAAGCAAGTGTATGAAATAATTGTGATTGTATCTGAAACCTCAACTACATAAGCAGTATTTTGGTCAACAAATGACTGAACCTGCCATTATCTACTATCTACTGAATCAGAAGCAACAATTCTTACTTCTCTTTCATCATCATCTTCTTCTGCTTCCATCTCGCATATTCTTTGTTCTCTTGTAAATGCACTCATTGCCCTATTGTTGGACATCACTCTATCGTACTCTTGAGAAAGATAGTATTCAACATCATGTACTAAAACAAAAACAAGCTTATCAAGTCTCTTGTTTCTAGATCTTTTCATGAAAACTGTTTTTAATTGATTGTGTCATGACTCAATATAATTATTGGTGAGCATATGTGAAAATTGACGTTCATGATATGCTCTACTTCAAATCTTAAATTTGTCTTCAGTACACCAGTTTTTCTCGAAGTAGTCCAAAAAGATGCATTGATCGTTAAAATCTTCTTTGAACTATACAAGTTTGTGATGAAACTGATCTAAATCTTCTTCATACACAATCTCTTGAAGAGATTTCATCATTTCACTAAGAAGAAGATGAGCCTCAGATGGCAAAGAGCCAGAAATCTTAACAGAGTCAGAGAGCTTTCTGTTCCATGCTTGAGTTACGTGAAATATGCAAAATTGGATTTGTGTGGTAGAAAAGGTGGTTTGAATTGCATAGACTTTGGCTGAGCAGCAATCAATAGTTATTTGTTTTGGATTAACAAGCAAGAGAGAAGACTTTAAGAATTGCAGCTACTGCACAATGGGGCCCACACCTCTATCATTGGTAATCATATATGCTACAGGCCAGCCTCTACCAATTTCTTCATCACGGATAAGAAGAGTATAAAGAATCTCATCAATTTTTTCAGAGATACCACTCATGATATCCAAGCAAAAAGAAGCAGCATTTTTCGTCTTATTTTGCTGTATTAGCAACATAAAACCACAAGCAAATACGTTTAGACTTGGTGAGTAGCTGGTATTGGCCCCAAAAATTGAAAAGTTCATTGCAGGAAGTTTCTCATTTATTTAAATCATGAAAGAAATCATTTGATCCTTGTCAAAATGATACAAAGTCTTATTTATCTATAAACAATTGGTTAAATAAAATTTTATTTAACATAAATTCATATATTTACCTTATTCATTAAGTTCCAAATGTCATAATAGTTGACCTTGTGTTCAGAATTTCTTCCATATCTATCAATAGCTCTCAGCATATCAATACATATCTGGCTAGCAGATTTAGATGACTGTTCTAATTATTGGGACAGCTCATTGAGGTATTTCTTTGCAAGAGGAAGAGTACACATATCTTCATGAACATCACCAGGAGTATGCTCAGTATGATCTTTTGTCAAAGTTATCTCACACCACTCTGGCGTCTTAAAGAATCCTCTGACATGAAAAAGAGCAGAACACTTATTTTTCTAAGTTCTTTTCTGAACTACTCTCATGGCTGCCTTAGATTCATAAGTGCCAGCATGATGACACGAATACTCTTGGGAAAAGCACATCTTAATATCACTGTCTTTGGCTTCTTCAGCAGTAATATCAGTAGGTTGCTTGTTAGAATTATGGATAATCCATTTGACTGCACAGGATTCACCAATTTCTAGCAAGCAATCTCTCCACTCAGATGTTCTAACTTTTATAGTAGTATCAAGTCTAAGAGTTATCACTCCAGGAACAGATGTACACTCCAATGCTTCAGAGATTGTTGCCAAAGTATAAATGTTTTTGTTGGATTGAATGTTGTTTGTTGACATATTTAGTGAATAATTATTTGAAAATAAAAACGCGTGATTTAAGGGATATAAAACCTTTGTTTCAAATAAACAATTCAAAAACAAGAGAAAGTATTAACAGTCACTATTTTGGTTAATAATTTTCCATCTACCAGGAAATATAGACTTTCATTATCTACACCACTTTTTTTATAAACCCATTTATTACAGGTATAACATTTTAGCCAAAATAACTTGTCAGTATATATTACTCTTATAAAGTTATAAATAATAATCAATACTCATCTACCTTCATTTTAACTCCATCCTTTTCATCTCTTATTTTTTTTATAAAAAAATTATCTTTTTGTATCGCCTGTACCTTACATTAAACTATTGTAATAAAAGTATGTCCACTCCCAGCGCTATTGAGTTTGTTTCTCATCAGGAATATGACAATCAGTCACATTCCTGGATGAAGCCAGATGGTGATAAAGATGGGTTGTCATCAATTAATCGGCTGCAGTACTTTCTGCTGAAAGACAATGCAGACAATCTGAGGAAGTATCTTGGTGGCTTCAAAAACAGAAGAAGGTCAAGGTCAGCAAGACCAGAGTGATAAATGACTGCTGCCAGTATTTTGACAAACAGGGTGTGAAGCGCACCAGCTCTCAAATAAAAAGCAAGCTGACATATTTGATAGTCAAGCAATATTCTATTGCATTCAAAGCCTGGGAAGAGAGCACAATGAGAATTAGCAAAGAAGAAATGTCTCAACGTAAAAAAGATGAGCTTGAAGATATGAATATTGTTATGTATAAGTTAAAACAAATATTTAAATAATTTAAATTATTTTTTATAAGTATATCTTAATGATATATGCCCAAACTTCACGCAGATGAGAAAAGTACTTGGTGAAAGTAAGGCAAAGTCACCTGCTGTATGTAATACAACAATGTCCTTGGACTTAAACAAAGTCTAAGACATGAGCAAGGGTGAAGACGGTGAAAACAATGGAGGTGACAAAGCTAGTGAGACCAGCAAAAGCTGCAAAGACCAAGAAGAACAGGGAACTGATGTCAGCAATGAGATCAGTTCTCAGAGAGAGGCCGTTGTCCAAAGCAAAAGTGAAAGCAGCACCTCCAAGCACTCTGATTCCAGTGCGTACAGTGGCAAAAGACAGCCTAAATTCTTTGGCAAGATTGTGAAAAACACGGCAAAAAGATCAGTCAAGAGCATAGAGGATATTGGGCATGGTATAAAAGAGTTCAATGATGCCCGGATATCACTCTTAGAATCAAAGTAAGAGGAAGAGCTCAAGAACCAGAAGGAGAAGCTGCAAAAAGAGCTTCAATGCGAGCAGCGGGTAAAAGGAGTGATCCTTATGGCAAAAACATTTGACTGGTCTGAGGAGAAGACTAAGAATAAATTAGAAGAGGTGTATAACCAATATCTCAATTAATAAATTGTATTTCTTCTATTTATATTATGCGTTTAATTTATATATATATACAAATTCTCAGAACTAATGTTATTTCATTTAAAAAATGTAAAGGCATGTAGACTATATAAAAATACTATCATTAAAGCAGACAAAATTGATCTTCTACTTACATCTTCAAAATAGTTCAATAATAAAATATTAAAGAAAGGGAATAACATAAATAATAACAAAATATCTATTTAATTACAGCTGTCAAATGCCAAAAAGTGAGATCTATCTAATAGATATAAAAGCTAATACTTCTGTTTTTTTTTAATGTATTTGGAATGATCAAAGTTTATTTTCTTTATTCAAGAAGATTTATTCTTCTCTTTTGACATAACAACACGTTGTGTCTGGATCCACCTTGTATTTCCATCTATATTCTGGGATCCATCTACTATACCAGACTCCTCTGAATATCCTGTCTTCTGCAGGCATTCAACTTCAGCTTTCTCTCTATCTTCCTATTGACGCTTGGCTTCCTGAGACCACTTGTCATCATCTTGACACATCAAGAAATTATTCAAGGCTACACAAACCCGAATCCATGTGTTAACCTTTACAACATCTTCCTTTCTTTTTATCCTTACAGGGATTGATTTGAGAGAGTAGAATATCTCTTTCAAGATTCTAAATGCATGCTCAAGATCTTGGTGTTGAACTTTTGGTCTGCTAATGAGAGTTCACTGTTTCTTAGCTTCTTTTTGATTGGAACAATATAGTTCGTAGCCTTGTACCTCGCGTCTGCCAACATGTACTTGTCATCAGAAAAGAATTGCTCTGGGAATTTTCCAAGTTCACACTCAGACAAAGTACACATATCATGCAAACTTCCAAAGAAACTGGTTGACATGTATCAGATTATGCATCTATAATCACACACTGTGATACTGTTTACACAGTAAGCAGATCTGTGACCGAAAAACTGCTTTGGCTTTCACAATAGTGCTTTTGCCAGCTTAAATAAGCATCTGCCAAGAAATCCAACAAGGTTTGGAAATCCTAATGGATATTCATTTGCTCATTTTATCTCTGCTTTCTCAGATTCGGTTGGCCAATAAACAAACTTGTGCTCCAAAAAGAGAATTACTTTAAAGAATCTGGTTGTTATATTCTCAATAGAGCTCTCTATTTGTTCTTATTGTAGGAAACAGATGAATATATTTGCTTTTGTATATGTGGGTAAACCATCGTAGAATATTATCTTGAGTCACTTACTTCCTATTCCAGAACATCTTGCCAAATGGCCACTTGACAAAGAATTACCATTTGATCCTAATTGGTCAAGAACAATAGAAATCTGTAGTCTAACATTGATTGAGTCAAATCCTGACAATTGTTGGTAAAGCTTGTGGTTTTTTACAAGATCATACAGCTTATAAAAAGAGCTCTTGCTCATTTGTAACTCTTCCAGGAAGCCGCTTTCATCCAAGGCAAGCAGAAAATTCAATCTTTTTTTTTGAGTTACAAGTTTCTTGATCTTATTTTGTCTTTTGAAAAAATAGCGTCCTTTGCTGATTTTGTCTTGGGCCTTTGTAACCATCAATTTCTCCTGTTGTAGCTTTAGTTTGCATATGCTTGCAAAATCTTCATATGTGTCATGATATTCCTCACAAGCAATGACATTAGAGCCGGACAACATCTTGATCATCTTCTTCAACGTGTGTTGAGTGATAGCTGCAGATGCATCCAAAGTTGATTTTGCAAGTATATTTATTGGAGTATGCGGCATTTTTTAAGATAATAAGTAAAAGAGTAATATATTTCTCACTTTTATATATGCTAGTATTTAATTATAGCAAGTATATATGCTTTAAATTGTTGTTTGCTATTTAAGTGTAATGCAACTAGAAGGTATGCGTGATATTATCATGCAAGTAGTATCAGACAAAAACTGGCCAATTATAGCTGTTGATTAATTTTGCCTTTTTTTTGAACTTTTTTTGAACTTTTAGTCTGTCCACACCAAATATACTGTAAAAGACTGCTGCTTTTAGTTTCTGAAAATCTGCAAAAATTTTACTAGAATTTTCAATTTTTATTTTTTTTAATCAGTTTTTATTTTTTTTCTACTGTGATTTTAGATCGTTCTTTTTTAGATATAAAATCACACAGCTGTCATTTTTTTGGCTATAAAATTACAAAATTGAGATTTTTTTATATTTTATAATTTTTTGATTAAAATTGTAAATTATACTGAAAAAACACTTATATAAAAATTAATACAATATTTAATAAATGATATATATTTTTAAGGTTTTTCTTTTTCTATTTCAAAATAAACCATTTAAATATTTATAATTTTTTTTACATATTATAAATGTGAATATAAAAGCAAATATTTTAAGAGAATGAGACAAGAAGTTGTAATTTCATTTTTACTATAGAAATATTTTTGCAATATTTTTTCCTTTGATATAAGGAGCTAAAATATCAGATTTTTTATTTCACATTTTATGATATGTGAATGTTTCATTTTTGGATTATTTTTTGCTATAGTTGAATCATCATCAAATCAAATATCATAATTCAAAAAAAAGTCTTTCCAAAAAAATCAAGTACACTTTTAGTAATGTATGCAGTATATGACTTAGTTAATGACTTAATAATATATGAGTATAATTATGATAATATGCACAGTACATATACACCCGGCTTAGGGTGAAATTGACTTACCTCCAACTCCGCCATGACTTCTTTCTATGCAAGAAGACCATTCTCTATTTTTCTTTTATTTTAATTCTGTAATCTCTCTAATAAAACAAATCACAATGCCAAAGAACAATAAAGCTAAAACTACCAACTCATATTATAAGACAACAGATTTTGAAAAAGAAATGATTATTGGAAGATATAAAGAAGGACGTAGCTCCTATGAGATTTCAGATGCAGAAGGCATATCTCAATCAACTGTTTATTGTATAATTAAAAATACAAAACAAAGAAGACGTGCGCTGAGAAGGAGCATCCTGGGGCCTCTAAGAAGCTATCACCATAGGCAATTTGTTATTTGAAGTTCACCGCAAAAAAAAAATAGATGCAACACATTAGCTACCATCATGCACAGTGTTAAAGAGATGCATGACATCTCAATCAGTCAAGAAACAGTACGCAAATATCTGCACAATATGGACCTTCACTCTTGTGTTGCTGTAGCCAAGCCTTACCTAGATGAAGCACATAAGAAGGCACGCTTGCAATGGGTTAGGGAGCAAAAAAATTGGAATGATGAATGGACGTCAGTAATCTGGAGTGATGAGTCCAGATTCACCCTTTTTCAGAAAGGTGGACAGCAATATGTTTGGTGCCAACCACATGAGAAGTATGACGATGACTATCTGATATCAGCAGTGCAAGGGTTGGGTGGTTCAGTATCAGTTTGGGGTTGTATTTGGGCAGGAGGTGTTAGCCCACTAGTTATATTAGATGACTACATAACAAAAGAAATGTATGTCCAGATACTGAGGGACAACTATCTTCCATTTCTTGCTGCCCTTCCTGATAAGGACACCACCACCTACCTTCTCCAAGAAGACAATGCCAAGCCACATAAGAGCAAGTTGGCAGAACAGTGGAAAAAAAGAAACGATGTGACTATCTTATCATGGCCTGCAAAAAGTCCAGATCTCAATCCAATTGAGAATATGTGGAGCTACCTTAATAACAAGGTTAGAGATAG